GTGTATATTACAAAGCAGGCCATATATTTGGTGTTGAAATCAGACTTTACTTAGTGAATCTTTACATTCATGTTCTCTGACTCTATGCCTGCATCGTGGTAGTCAGATAAGATGATGTGTCTGTTACTTTATCTTAAAAAATAAATGTGGGGATGTGATTTGATCTAAATAGAATTATCTTGTTATTTTCCCAGATGCACACCTCAGCCTATGCCTCTGCTCTCCTATAAAGACTAATAGACAACATAATCAAATCAGTAATGCCATTAAGCTCTACACAGACAAGTCAGCCCAGTGATGTTGTGTATGAAGCTGCCTACTGTTTGCCTTCATTCCTCAAGTATTTGTGTGATACATTTCTGTTGCTACTGTAACTGAAGCCCTGGATTTATGACAACAAGTTCAGAAGTCACCTGAAAAGAGGCTACTCCTTTTCGACAAAAGTGGATTTATCTTGAATATTGAGTCAAAGAAGTATGTTGCAGACGGGCGTGGGTTGAACAGCTGTGCTGCAGCTGGCAGACATCACATCTCTAATCCCCATATGCACTCATTACTCTACATTACAGTTCATTATACATTTCATTGTGTGTTTGCATTCGGTGTTGAATTGGAGTTCAATTTGGACCCCAAACGTATTTTTAAGGATGCACTATGCAACATTTGTGGTGGTTTTTTTTTGCACCTGCTTGTCTTTACAAAGATTTGATTACTTTGCCTGGAATGTTCCACTGGATGGCATTTAAATTGTTTATCTTCATGAAGACAAGAAGGTCATGTCACCAGGTATGGTAGGACAGATCTCACAGTGACCCCACAGTATTTCTTTATCTTTCAGCAGTAAAGAAATGTTGAATTCTAGAGTACTAGATAAATACGCTTAATGCCATGCCAAAGTGTAGAAACCTCTAGAAAATGGCGTTGGATATCTGTAGTAGAAATGCTCATACATGAAAAAGCTTGAGAGTCCTATGGCTTTATTTACTTTGAGTTATTTACTTTGACTCAGACCCACAGAGATTTGAAAGAATGTTGTACTGGTTACCAACCTGTCACACCCAGCCAATATGTAGATAGTGATTATGTGGGAATTGATGATAATGTGGGTGACACAATGACAATAAATACTTGAACTACTAAAACCTCTATTTCCTTGTGGTGAAACCTGTGAAAACCTTGAAGTGGGATCGATTCTGTACGGCGTGATCTATAGCTGAGTGTGGACATGAGAACTCTTTGCAGGATGAGGCATGTGCTTTAGATTTGCCATGAAAGTAAGTTTTGAGGTAGATCTGGAGTCTCCACTTTCACTGCTGATCCACTACACATTTCCACAGGTGTTGGTAGGCCTGTCACGATAACAAATTTTGAAGTGTGATATATTGCTGAACTAAATAGAAATGGTAAACTTTAATATTGAAACAAAACCAGTAAAGTAGAATTATCCACCAAAATTAGTTTACATGTACAATATTGTTAGCAATTGTTGAGCTGCAATAAATAAACAGCAGATTGGATTTTTTGTTTATATTCAAGCTTCATCATCTCAAATCTTACCACATTGCAGAAAAAAAAATCTAAACTCTCCCACAATAGGGAAAAGAAAAGGTACACACGACAAATAGCCCACAAAAGTATTGTTCCATCTATCATGTTTTGAACAATAAATCGATTTTATATTTATCGTGACAAGAAAAGATGTTGGGTTTGAAGTACAATATATTGCTGAAGTAAATATAAAACTCATTTATGCCAAGAGCAGATTTACTACAAACCACAAAATTGCAAAACTATTCGAAACCTACAATATTGTTAAAAAAACATGAGCTACAATAAATAAATAGTAGAATGAGACACTTTAGTACTTCTGTAATGTATGTGCATCTATAATGAGTCATAGAAGTTCAACCTTTTATGGCTCAAATCTTATCATATAACCAAAAAATAACCTAAAATTCCTCAGTAGTGCAAAGAAAATGAGGACATGATTAATATTGACCCCAAGATATTGTTTCACCTTTCAAATCATTCTTCATAGAATGGTAAGTTAATATAGTAACTATGGTGACAGGCCTAATCACGATTATACAAAATACATTAGGGCTGGGTATCATTAAGAAGTTGCAGATATGATGCATACCTCGATACATAGGCCACGATACGATGCGTTTTTTGATACAGTGCATTTTCAGTTCAATACAATTTGATACTATATATCTCAAATCAATTCGATACTGTTCAGTAAAAAGCAAAGGCTAAATCAAGTTTGTGTAATATGAAAAACGCCCCTTTTACTCATCAAAACAATGATGTCAAAGGTAATTTCCTTTGTCCAAACAAGCAACACAATTGCTCACTCACAAAATCCATCCATCCATGCATCCATTTTCGTCCGCTTATCCGGGGCCGGGTCACGGGGGCAGCAGCCTAAGCAGGGACTCCCAGACTTCCTTCACCCCAGACACCTCCTCCAGCTCCTCCGGGGGGACCCCGAGGCGTTCCCAGGCCAGCCGAGAGACATAGTCCCTCCAGTGTGTCCTGGGTCTTCCCCGGGGCCTCCTCCCGGTGGGACATGCCCGGAACACCTCCCGAGGGAGGCGCCCAGGAGGCATCCGAAACAGATGCCCGAGCCACTTCAACTGGCTCCTCTCGACGTGGAGGAGCAGCGGCTCTACTCCGAGCTCCTGCCGTGTGACTGAGCTCCTCACCCTATCTCTAAGGGAGCGCCCAGCCACCCTGCGGAGGAAACCCATTTCAAGCGCTTGTATCCGCGATCTCGTCCTTTCGGTCACTACCCAGAGTTCATGACCATAGGTGAGAGTAGGAATGAAGACTGACCGGTAAATCGAGAGCTTCGCCTTTCGGCTCAGCTCCCTCTTCATCACAACGGTCCGATACAGCGACCGCATCACTGCCGAAGCTGCACTGATCCGCCTGTCAATCTCACGTTCCGTCCTCCCCTCACTCGTGAACAAGACCCCGAGATACTTGAACTCCTCCACTTGAGGCAAAGACTCCCCACCCACCCGGAGAGGGCAAGCCACCTTTTTTTCCGGTCGAGAACCATGGCCTCAGACTTAGAAGAGCTGATCTCCATCCCAGCCGCTTCACACTCGGCTGCAAACCGCCCCAGTGCACATTGCAGGTCCTGGTTCGATGAAGCCAACAGGACAACATCATCCGCAAACAGCAGAGATGAGATCCTGTGGTCCCCAAACCGGACCCCCTCCGGCCCCTGACTGCGCCTAGAAATTCTGTCCATAAATACAATGAACAGAACCGGTGACAAAGGGCAGCCCTGGCGGAGTCCAACATGCACCGGGAACAGGTTTGACTTACTGCCGGCAATGCAAACACAGCTCCTGCTCCGGTCATACAGGGACCGGACAGCCCTTAGCAAAGGGCCCCGGACCCCATACTCCCAGAGCACCCCCCACAGGACACCACGAGGGACACGGTCAAATGCCTTCTCCAAGTCCACAAAGCACATGTGGACTGGTTGGGCAAACTCCCATGAACCCTCGAGCACCCGATGGAGAGTGTAGAGCTGGTCCAGTGTTCCACTGCTCCTCCTGGATCCGAGGTTCGACTATCGGCCGGATTCTCCTCTCCAGTACCCTGGCATAGACCTTACCGGGAAGGCTGAGGAGTGTGATCCCCCTATAGTTGGAACACACCCTCCGGTCCCCCTTCTTATACAGAGGGACCACCACCCCGGTTTGCCAGTCCAGAGGTACTGTTCCCGACCGCCACGCGATGTTGAAGAGGCGTGTCAGCCAAGACAGCCCCACAACATCCAAAGACTTAAGGTACTCAGGACGGATCTCATCCAACCCCGGAGCCTTGCCACCAAGGAGCTTTCCAACCACCTCAGTGACTTCAGCCAGGGTGATGGGTGATGGATGAGTCCGCCTCTGAGTCCCCAGCCTCGGCCTCCTCCTCGGAAGACGTGACGGTGGGATTGAGGAGATCCTCAAAGTATTCCTTCCACCGCCGGACAACGTCCCCAGTCGAGGTCAGCAGCTCTCCCCCCGCACTGTAAACAGTGTTGGCGAAGAACAGAGCTAGTCTCCATGTCCGGAGATCCGGTCGTCGAGGCCCCCGCCGTCGACTGCCCCCCAGATCTCTCTGCACCGGCCCCATATGGCTCCTCCCGCGGGTGGTGGGCCCATGTGAGGACGGTCCCACGTCGCTCCTTCGGGCTAAGCCCGGCCGGGCCCCGTGGGGGAAGGCCCGGCCATCAGGCGCTCGCTGACGAGCACCCACCCCAGGCCTGGCTCCAGGGTGAGGCCAATCCGGGCGACGTAACTGGCCTCTGTGTGTTGCTCATCATGTGGGGCTTCTGAACCGTTCTTCGTCTGACCCGTCCCCCCGGACCTGTTTGCCTTGGGTGACCCTACCAGGGGCATGAAGCCCCCGACAACATAGCTCCCGGGATCATTCGGGCACTCAAACCCCTCCACCACGATAAGGTGACGGTTCAAGGAGGGGTCGCTCACAAAATAATTTAGAAAAATATACCAAAAAGATACTCTTGGTGATATATCAATACAGCAGTCCACAATATCAATACTGTATCATCAGATTAAACAATATGATATATTGATATTTCAATATTTTTGCACACCCCTAAAATGCACAAATGACTATTGCCTATCTCTTTATAGCCATCAACAATATTGTTTTTTGTCCCATCTCTAAGACCTAGAGTATCCCTAGATATGATGCTGCCTGGAACTGGGTGTAAAGATAATTGATCGGTGACAGTGGCTGCGCAGGAATGCAACAATGAGCTCATCCATTGACTGCCTGTAAGAGTGACTACTGAAGTGGGAAGTCTTTTTCTGAGTCTGTGAATTATGTGCTCCTTCTCCTCCTGTCAAAGGTCAGAGGTCAGGGGGACGCACAGTGCCGTCTCTGTCTGTTCGCTGCATGGTAAAGATGTGAGAAAACACACTCTGTGCTTTGTGGAGGGCCTCTTCAGTCTGCTCCTCGGTGCCAGAGAGTTGACCCGGTGGGCACCCCAAAGACCCTGGTAATTACAGCGCAGGGTGAAAGTCAGTAATAGCCCATCCATCGCCTTTGGGTGACAGTACAAATTGGACTTAACTGCTTTAGGCTGGACATGACTGAGAACATTTAGCTATACCCTGGTAAATTATTAAAAGTCTTACAATTTGCTGGTGATTATTGATTAGCTATATTTTTATGTTGGCATAGAGCTTTAAAGAGCAAGG